TACTTGTAGGTTATTCAGACTTACCTAGAAGCACTAATTTCTGCAGAGTCTCAGAATGATCCACATAGTCTCGAAGCGTGAATGTATCTGGGGGCAACGGAGGGTTTGCAATAATCTGAATGGCCTCCTCCTCGGACACTGGCTGCAACGGAGACAATGGAGGCAAATCGTCCAGTGCTTTGAAGCCAGCCATGTAGAGAGAGAGAGGCAGTTAGCTCTCCAGTCTGTATGACTAAAGCTAGACCTCTTCCCTGGTTTGCTTATTTTTAAATCTTGGAACCATTTCAGAATTAAAGATCTGAGAAGTTCAAATATTTTCCACCTTCTAAGAGGTAAGGTTAAGACTATTTATAGAGAAATCAACTGCTATTCCTGTGAGATAAGAAAGGAAGTCCTATACAAAATTCCTTTCCTTTATTTTACTTTTAATCAACAGGTAAGAATGCTAAAGATCAACTGACCTTCAAGCACATTTTGAGATAGATTCTACCATAGTTTGTTAAACTGGCCCAAAACACAACATATTCTACCAGCCTGATTTCTATGGGTTAAAATCGTTATCATCTGAAATTTTTAAAAAATGTTTATTTATTTATTTTGAGAGAGCAAGCGTGAACAGAGGAGAGGTGTGGGGGGAGAGAGGGAGAGAAAAAGAGAGAGAGAGAGAGAGAGAAAGAATATCAAGCAGACTCTACACTGTCAGTGCAGAACCCAACATGAGGCTCAATCTCACGAACTTAATCAAAAGTCAGATGCCTCACCAACTGAGCCACCCAGGGGCCCCCTGAAATGTCTTTTGATGCAATCACCTTTCCTCTAAGTTATTCTCAAGTACTCTGGTTAAGCGTCCGACTTCAGCTCAGGTCATGATCTCAGGACTCAAGTCCTGAGTTCGGTTCTGTGCTGACAGCTCAGAGGCTAGAGGCTGCTTGTTTCCTTCTCTCTCTGCCTCTCCCTTGTTCATGCTCTGTCTCTCAAAACTAAATAAACATTAAAAAATTTTTAAAAAGTACTTTAAAAGGACTTCTGTGATTCTATTTCTGCCACCTGTAGTCCTTCCCTAAGGACATGACTCTCTCTGGTACAGCCTTTATTATGATATTTTGTTTTGTTTAAACCAAACAAGGTATGGAAGACACTGGGAACTGTGACCAACCTTAAGCTAAAGAATCAAGACTATGATTTTTTTGTTCTATTTTTTGCTTCATAATACTGCTCTTTCTTATTTCTTACAGCCAGTCTTTCGTCCCTGCCATCCTTAACCCAGCTTTCTTTCATATTCTGTTCAACCTAACATCACCTCATTGTGGTGAAATATTCCTTTTACACAAATATTCCTAAGACAGGAAACACAGAAGGGCGAGGACTGACTAAAAAATGACACAAGGGTGCTTTCAGGGGCCTTCCATTTGTGTTATTTTTGGTTTGTTGATTGTGGGGGCTGTTATACAATTAAAGGTGTGTGTCAAAATTCATAAAACTGTATACTCAAAAGCAATGAATTTTACTTGGATAAAATTATATCCTAATCAGGCATATAAAATTAGGATCAATTATTCCCTAATAAACCTAATTACCAGCTGAAAAATTTTTTATAAAGAATCTAAATGATAAAGTATTTAGAAAGCAACTGTTATATACATATAACTAGAGGTAACATGATATACACACATATATATATACACATATATATATAAAATGTTAATTTACAAACTTGTTTTTCTAGTCACATAAAGGTATAATAGAAGTAAATTAATAGAACCAGCATTGTTCTTTTTCTTGTGTGGTACAAAGTTATGACTTGACATGGACTAAAAGACTATAAACAGTTAACTTGTTCAAACTAACAAAGTGGAGCAAAGAGGACTTTTCTGGAAGTTCAGAATTACCTTCTAGAGATAGCTCAGAATCAAAGCTGGGTATCCTTTGTGTCTTCTGTGTCTGCTCATTGATGGAAGGAAGCAGAGCACTCTGGGCGGAACTAATCTCTTGCCTACTTGAGTTGGTAGACTGGGAACTATTCCACAAGGAGGAAGTCCTATACGTCTTAAATCCCCACCGGAGAAAGCAATTGTCAGAGGACATCTGAGGCTGAGCAGAAAAGCCATGCGACAATGTTCTTCCTGGTCTCTGAAAATGTTTTCCGAGTTGTGTAGCTGTAATGAGGCTATTCAACTTAACTGAATTGAACCATCTGGGTATCTGTTGGGCTGACAAAGCCATTTTTCTTAAAGTAGCCTACAAAGGAAATATATAACCATCAAAAGAAACTTACTTTACTTAAATGTTTAAAACAGTATTCAAACAATAAAATGATAAACTGGAGAATCTTTTTTCTAACTAAAAGATGTTTAATAAATATAGATGATAGAGTCAGATGTTCCTTAAGCACAAGAAAAGCCAAAAGCAAGGTAGTCCCAGTTACAAACCAAAAGACAGGAACTTCTGAACTGGAAAAATAAAGATTGCTTTACAATTAAAAAAAAAAAAAAGCAAAACCATTGGTAGAAGAACACCATTTAAAACAAAAATCTGTAAATGTTTAAATTACAGATGAACCCAATAATCTGTTTATTTAATATTCAGAGGAAATAAGATGATGTAATTTAGCGTTCTTGAAATTTGAAGGACACCTAAGAAGCAGACTGTTGATCAAACCACTGAATTATTCAAATGCATTTTATGTATATACATTACTCACAAAATAAAAAACAAGAAGAAATCTACCTTGTCCTAAATGAATTATCAAAATATCACTATTATCTAGAAGACTGTTTCTTGCTTTATTCTCAGGGCTGAACACTGTTGATTAAGATAAAGCTGTTCCTCAAAAGGGAATTGAACAAAACCAATTTTGACAAATTTTGTTTTTTGGCTGTTGAAAAAGAAAAAGAAAAGCCTTCAAAAACAAAAGGTCAAAACTAGCAAGCAAAATGAAGTGACAGAAATACATAATGCAACCAGCAATGAACACATGAACACTTTGACTGAAAAAGCAGTTTTTAAAAAGATTTTCATGAGGAAATTATGAAGAAATCTTATCTTTATCCAGCTTAATTAGAAAAATAGACTTGCTACATATAATTTTACGTTAAATAAGAAAATCCTTATAAAATACAGCCTGGAGTCCAGCCTATGGAAAATGCTCAACAAACGTGAGCCATTATCACGATTATTGATTACACATCCAAATATAAATGAATGCTGCTGAGTTAAGTGCAGCATACAACTTTTTTATTTGCTTTTTTACATATTGGAATTCAGCTGGTTTTATGATCTGAATTGGACTGGATATTGAAAGTCTAACCTCCTCCTGGAGATTTATAGTTTAGGGAAATTTCCTCAAAGAGATTTATAAAAGTCAAAGTCTCACTGTCATTATGAAATGGTTTTAGAAAGGAAGCAAGGATGCACAACAACCTTGTGGGATAGGTGCTTTTTATTAAATTCTGGTAGAAAATGACCCTTCAAATCTGCCAAGTTTTCACTAAAACTTACAACACTGATTCTCTGTCAGAAGGAAGCCAGAAGGTCTCAGTTGTACTAGCTGACAAGACTATTTCTTGTGGTGGTGGGAAAATTTACTGGCCCATGGGATGGAGAGTTCAAGAACTATTCTTTAAATAACAATTTTTTAAAAAGGTTATGGGTACAATAAGATGATTCTTAAGGTCCCTAAGCAGCGCTAAAATGTTTTTTGACTTTTAAATTTGTCTAAGCATTTCATCCTGCTTGGATTTCAAAGCAAACTCCTGAAATCCCACGCTCACATTAATACTCCTCCCATATCACTCAGATGAACTTTTGAATTCCATTCATATTCATTAAAGGACCTTTTGCATACAACTAACGGTTATGCCATTTGCAATTACAAGTGCACTAACCTCTCTTCGTCATTTCATCGCTGTATACACCTCTGAACAATTGATGAATTGTTCGGTCACGGGAGCTGGGCTGGGTCCCATCTCTGGACCCACCCTCCCATTAGCCTTGCACTAATCCAATGTTTGTTTTGTTGGATAGAAATGAATCAGTTCCAACTACGGATAACTCATTTGTCTACACAGTATTCAAAAGAGGGTAAGGTTTGCAGCCGTGCATAAAAGCCCTGAGTGGTGACACCAGTAAATCCAACACACCTTCAGGTGTGTTGAACCGTTCCTAGTTCTTCGCTAGGAATAGGAATTGGGACCGAAGTACCGTTTTTCCAGGTTCAATATTTCTACCTCTGTAAGTCTAATAAGTGAAATTCGGAGATGAAAAAGGGGTGAATGGGAGAATGGCATCGTAAGAAAGGGCCTCTCCTAACAGGTCTCCATAGCGAACTTCCGCAGGAAGCCAGCTGACAAGCTAGGCTTCCTTCCGCAAAACGTGCTAACAGATAAGCATGGTTGCGTTTTCGACTCGTCGACTAGGAAAAATAACAAAACTAAACAATACTAATTGCCCCCGACTGGGCCGCGGAGACCCGAGAGCCCTGAGGCCCCAGGCGGGGCCTGCACGTGGGCGGGTCCGGGCCCGAACCCCACCAGGAGCGCGCCCCTCGCGCTCCGGCGGCTCCCGCTTTACCTGTGGCGAGGCCCACGCTCGCGGTTTATTTTGGGGTGGCAGCCAGGCCGGCCGGTAGACCGTCCCGCAGCGCCTCACGTCCGACGGTCACAGCCCAGCCGGCAGGCGCAGCCGCCGCGCACCCTCGCCCACGTGGACTGCGGCCGGAGTGGACGAGACCATCTGCGAGGCTGCGCGGGGGGAAAGCGGGCCGCAGGCGGTGGGAAAAGAGGCGGCCAGGGGCCACAGCTTCCCTTCTTCCGCACGCCCCTTCCCTTAGGTCTTGTCCGCTGGGAATGTGAAGATACCAGGAGTCCGTAGAGATGCTTCTCCCGGAACGCCAGCGGGGGCACGGCGGGCGACGCCCCCCGCCCGAGGCCGCGTTGGCGGCGCCGCGACCCCGCCCTCCCGCGCCGGTCCTTCCCTCCGCTCCCAGCCTGTGCTCAGCGCCAGACCCGGCCCCGCCGTCCCGCTGCCCGCCCGCTGCGGCTCGTCACCTCCGGGGTCCCAGCCTCCACGGGCCGGGGCCGCCGCTGCCGCCGCAGGACGGGGAGGCGGGCCATGGCGTCCTGCGTGGGGAGCCGGACTCTGAGCAAAGATGATGTGAACTATAAGATGCATTTCCGGATGATCAACGAGCAGCAAGTGGAGGACATCACCATCGACTTCTTCTACCGGCCGCACACCATCACCCTGCTCAGCTTCACCATCGTCAGCCTCATGTACTTCGCCTTTACCCGGTGAGGCGGGCCGATCCGCGCGGAGGGAGCGTCCTTGGGCGAAGGGAAGGGGCCGACGGGTGGCGGTGGTGAGGGGCACGGGTCGGTGTAGCTCTGGGTGAGGAATCAGGCTGGCTCTTCCACGCACACCCTCGCAGACCCGCCAGGCGTCAGTTCCTCCACCGGCCGGGTGTCTCAATGCACACCCAGCTTCCTGCCCTACAGCTCCGCTGGCCTGGCGTTGGTCCCTACCCTCCAACCCCCACCCTCACCCCCTCCACCCTATACCATCTCCTCCTGTACAGCGCTTCGGGTCACATCGGGAGCACTCGCGAGTCCCTTAGAGCGATTCCCCACCTCTCCTATCCCACTGAGCATAGCTCCCCGCATACATCACGACACGGCCCCCCCGCTCCAGCCCCCGTCCCTACCCAGCACCCGGCATGAATCATCTCCTATGCACCACTTTCAGCACTTACAGCTACATGCTGAAAGCACACCGGTCTACAGCGTCTCCGCGCACCATACACAGGCCCAGGGCACAATCTGGACCCCTTCCCTTGGATCTCCGGTTTTCAGCACTACCGGCCAAGCACAAAATGCACATGTGAGTTGCACTACACAGCCTTGCCCATGCAGCACCTTCAGTATGCGTAGCATACAGACCATCTAGCATAACCCTTCCCCCAGCCTCAAACAGGACCACAACACAAATGATGTAGACATATATCAAAGCTGACCTTTCCCCTTCCAGTGCAGCCAGTATCTATCACCTCTTGTGCACATTGCTATAGAAACACCAGCTTACCACATATCACTTAGTGCATACTCTGCTGGGTTCATCATCCAACACATATGCTGAAATGAGAGATATTGTCAAGCAATTGTGGCAGTGCCTGGTGCATAGTAAGTACTGTGGAAGTGATAAATAAAACACATAAACCTCAGTAGAGCACAACTCTTTCTCCCTGAAAACACACACACACACACACACACACACACACACACACACACACCCATACGGTCAAAGGTCTTCTAATATATACTTGTGCAGAGGAGCCCAGTTCTTGATACCCACATCATATAACTGTACCTCACTGAATATACGGCCCCTCACTCCTAACCCAGGGAACCATTCCATCCCTTGTTCATAATGACATGCACACCATGGGTCCTACTTAACAAGGATTTGTATTTTCTGAATGAACCTCTTTAAAGAAAGGAAAGGCATACCTATCACGCTGTTATGGTTAAAAAAGATCAACCCAGGGAAGTATAGTTTTGGAGCCAGATTGTTGGCTTCAAAAGTATCTGTGTGTCCTTGGTTGAGTTACTTAACCTTTCTCTGATCCACACTTGTAAAATGGGGATAAAATATGTACTTAACTTCATATGGGTTTATGAGCATTCAGTGAATATGTGTGAATGGACTTAGAGTATCTCATACACAATGCACAATTAATGTCAATTCTCTTAGCATTTTTGTCTGACAATCAATGATTCTCAGTTCAGGTCAGCAGAAAATGTGCAGAGGTATATTGAGTGGTCACAAGCATTGGAACTTCTAGTATTTTGTGGGTGAGGATTAAGGATGCTAAATATGTTATGATTCATGGGACAGCACTGTACTGCAAAGAATGAATTGCCCCCTCTATAAATGCCTGTGTGTGTACATACACATACAAGATAGACACACATGCACGCATGTAAGTGCCAGTGGTGCCTCCATTAAGAATCACTGTGATTTTTCATATTTTCTTGAAACTAATAATACTCTCCCACATCACACATGTTTCTTACCTCTGCAAACCATTTGACTCTTGGTTCTTATTTTGTGCTTATCTGTTTACATAAATCTACCTAAAGCAATAAGGCATATGTAACAATTACTCTTCATGATTGAGGGATATAGCTACTATTATTGTAAAGTCTGAGAATGCTCTGCAGTGGGATAAAACCAGATATGTCCGTAGTATCCAACAAAGAACATATTTCTAGCCTTAGAGAAAACTCATTCTTGTCCCTATTTATGGTTCCCTTCAAATACTTCATTCATCATGTCAGCTGATTTTACCACTTAATAGTTATGTGACCACTTAATTTTGCTAAGCCATAGTTTCCTTATTTATATGTAAAATGAAAATGTCTAATAATACTCCAGAGGATTGTCTAGCATGAGGGTTCAATTCATTGTTTTAGGTAATCTGCATTTAGCTCAGTTCATGACAAATAGTAAGTGCTTAGTAAACATTAGCTATTACTATTACATCATTTCATTGTATGCTAATGCCTTCTAGATTATATCTGTCCTTCAAGCGAGGATGAAGTATGCTCTATTATTGAGAAAAAGGATGAAGGCATTGGAATAGTGGATGTTGCTTTTCTTGGGTAACATTCCTGTTTAGTGTTAGGTTTGGTTTAACTTCATCTCCTGTGTGGGTTGGAAGTAGTGCGCGAATTTCTTTGGAAATGAGAAGAGTAATTAATGGTATTTTATTCTGAATGAAAAGTAAGAATGAGCAGTTTGTTTCCACCTTTTATCTTTACTATTATTCTAGGTCCCCTAAGAATAGGTCTCTCTTCCTTTTTTTCTAATACAGAAAGTCGCAGTCTTTTGTAACTTCCCTTTTATAGCATATTCTGTCAAGGCAGTCAGTAAATTACAGCAAAGAATATGAATTTTAACAGCTTGTCAAAAGTAATGGAAAAGGCATAGTCTGAACCTCAGAATACGGTCTTTTCCAAAAATCATTTTATTTCTTTGAGTAATTTCATAAGAAGAAACTGTATATTGAAGAACTCATTAATAACAAGTTTCACCTTATATAAAATCATAAGCACCATTAAGGTAGTTGGTACTTACTAGCTCTTACTCATTTTTTGTAATGATTTGTGACCCTTTATACTGGGACATTACGGTGATCGCTCTATCTTTCTCCATAAAGATGGAAAGTAATTACTTCTTAAATGAAAATTATTCATTCTGTACTCTTTTATAATGATTGTCTCCAGTACCTTGTACATACTTTACAACAGGATTTTTAGTTGGGTGACTGTTCAGTGCAATTCTTTCTGTAAAACTTTAAAACTGTGCCTTAACGTTTGTTTTTCAAAGACCAGTGATCTTAGAGGACAGGACATAGAATAATTTCAAGGTGCCACAGTACCAGTCTGTGAGAAACAGTACCTGGGTCAGGTCACATGCTGCTGACACATAGCAAGAATTTAGGATCGTGAAGAATTAGATATCACGCACAGAAGTCAGAGACAGGTTTGGATTTGTCAAGTAGTTCTTTTGTTAAATAGCAACTAGGTCAACTCACTCTTAAATCGTAGTGTTTAAATCTCCTGTCTCTTTCACCTTCATTAAAAATGAAGCCAGATACTATTGAATCATTCTCCCTAAGCTCATTTCGCCACATTTTAGGATAAGTATTTTTATAAGATAAATGCTTTGGCATGTGTTTTGGAAGTTTGTTCAGCCAAAATGGGGCAAAGAGAACTTTTGCCTTGAGCTCAGAGTATAATTACTAAGGTGCCTCATATTTACTCTGCTTTTCAGAGACTGGCGAACTTGGAAATAGTGAACGGCTTCAGTTTCAAAAACTCAAACGTTAGGTTTGAAAACACCCAAATCTACTAACACACTCATAGCAGCCCACTCCCTCCTTAAGAGGCACTTGGGAATGAAACAGCGGAATCCACCTGTCCAGGAGCGCTTGTGTCACAGCCGTGTCCAATCGCCCCTTACACAGAGGAGATGGCCCTCCCACAGCTTGCTGTACCCAAGTGCCGCTTAGTCTGTCTGTGCTAGCTTTCTTCTTGATAAGAGACGGAGGGCACAGGTGAGGGCAGGGAAGTGGACAGACTTTTGATTTATGTGTTCTTATTTACTTGTTGATAATGGTTTTATTCTCGTTTGCCTTCAGTGGACTTGGAGCTCCAAGCCGTAGTTCTGCCTTCTTTGTCAGCCTCTCTCGTGGATATCTGCTAGCTTTCCCTATTCTGTCCCTTGTAGACCACATAAATCCCATTAGAAAACGTCTCTTGACACTGTTGATTCAGTTGTCTTGGTTCTGTTTCCTTTACGTACATCGTGTTCTTTCTTTCCCATTAACGGAAGGCCTGGATGTCCTTGTTCCTGACACCGGCTCTATTAAGTGATGGTCCACAGCGGCTGTGTGCTGGGGCTCAAGCAACCCTGGAGGTGAACAGAGCCCTCTGAAGAGGTCCACTTAACAGTGATCTTAACGTTTCTCTTTCCCACTTCCTATTTGAATCCTATTTTGTGATGGATCTAAGTAAGCATCTGCTATATCCTTTCTTGTATTTATGTCTACTGTTTTAGGTTCCTAATAAGATTATAAAGTTCTTGGAGGGGAAAATGTATCCTATATTTGTGTGGGGTCTTCTGTAGGAGGTAGGTTCCTGGGTGACTTCGGATATTCATTTGGTTTAGATGCTGCCTTACCTCAGAGAGATTCCATGCCTAGGAATTGATACCTGGTGGTTAGCATTTGAGCTATAATTCTATTACCAAGTGTAATACAGTTAGTTTTGTGATATAATCCCTGTAGCCTCAGATTTCTCTAGCGAAGTTAGCAGGTTTTCAGTCTCCTTGAATCCAGAAACCAGACGTTGTCCAGTCAGCCAGGACTGCTTCCTGAACCTTCGGCTCTGTCATCCTGTTTAATTCAGTTCAGCAATTCAATAGTTCAGGTCTCTGCTCACCTGGAGTAGACCTGGTTTATCTTCACCAGGTCTCACAAGGCCTTCACACTTTCAGGGCTGTTCTCCCTCCCAAGCCCAGGCTGTGGCTCAACAGTCCCCTTATCCTTTGAGACAGAATGCCCCCAGACTTTTACTCCATCTCCCTCCCACTCACCCTCCACACTGCTGCCCTCATGACCTTCTAAGACAAAGTTGTGACCCCATCTGTCCCCTGCTTACAGTCTGTCACTGCATCCCCATCACCTATAGGAATTGCTGGCTGGACCCAGGTCTTCCATCATGAAGTAGCTCTGCCTCTCCAGCCTTGCCTCCTATGACACCTGCACGCAGGGCACACAGCAGGCCCGGATGGCTCCCCGGCCCCACACCTTGGGCCAGGCTGGCAGCTCTTTCCCAGTGAAGTGCACTTCCTGGCACCTTCCGTCTGTCCACGAGCCCATGGCGTCCTGGGCTCCTTCCTGAGCCCCTTTCTTGATTGCTTCAGGAAGCCCAGGAAGACATGTTCATACACTTCCAGACACCTTTTATTATTGTGTGTCTCTTATGGGTGTTGTAATAACTGTTACAGCATCGTTTCTTGAGCCCAAATATGTTAATCATCCCAAGATACACACCCAGAAAATGCTAAATGAATAAAATGCAAGAAATCATTTATCCAATAAGAACTTAAAAAAAAAATCACTCTTCTCCTTTAGTTGCTATCTAAGTTATAATTCTTGGCAGGGATTATAACTTGCTGTAAAATAAAATGAATATAGTCTTTAAACGTAATACCAAAGCTAGTTAACATCGATCCACCATGTAACCTGGGACTAAGTTTTCCATTAGGAGAGAGGATCCTTAACAGTGACCAGCCTTATAAACATGACCCTACCTGTGTGTCTCAATTTCAAGGCTCCTATTAAAGAGAAGGGAAGGAGAGGATGTGGGGAGGGAGGACAACCCACTTAGCAGCCTTAGGAGTCATGGTAAAGGGTTTCTTGTCTGCCTGGCCCCAGGGAGGAAGCCTTGTCTAGATGGTCTATGACTACATGGAGTTTGTTTCACTTTCCTGAAGTCTTCCTCGCCCACTGCCTATAGTCAGATGTTAAACTAACAATCTGAGTCCAGAACTTTTTCTGAGTGCAAACTTTTTCTTAGTTCAGGGCTTGTCTTACACCTTTCCTGCTTTTAGGACATTCTCTCCTCTCTGGGTAGAAACAGCATCCGACAGAAGGAGTTGATGGTGTTTGAATTTGTGGCCATTCAGCACTGGGACAGGAAAGTCACTGTTAGTGGACTCCATGGCCTCAGGCTGTGCTTCACTCCTATATGACCTGAGTCTCTGGACCCACTCAGCCATAGCATCTCTTTCATTCTGGCACCCAGTGTATTGAGAATGTCTGCTGTGTGCCAAGCATTGTGCTGGGCATGGGAGGTACCTCAGAGGAATGAGGTGGGACCTGTGCCCTCTGGAGCTTAAATTACAATTTTATTAAAATCTGCCCATTCAGTATTTTTACTACCCGCCCCCCCCTCCCCCCCCCCGGAGCACCTCCTAAATTTGGCAGAGGGAAAAGGACTTTGCCCCCCTCCCTCCAGCTTGTCTGTTTGTATCATTTTGGTAAATGTAGCAATCTTGACCTAGAGCCAGCATTCCAGAGCCCTGGCTCCCACTTCCACTCTGCCTCCTATTCGTGTGTAACTGTGGGCAAGATAAAAAAAGAGCTTTATCTTCCTCATCCTTCAAGTAAAGATAATAGTCCCCCACACAACCATGAAGCAGTTAAAAGAAAATGACAGCTGCGGAAGTTCTTTGGAAAGTTCAGAGCACCAGAGATTGAGACATTTGTCGTTGTTGGCTGCAGCAGACCTTGGGAAGAAGTCAGGGCTTTGGACAAGGTTGTCATGGCACGGAGAGTTGACTGGGGTGGGGGGTGGGGTGGGGGGTGGGGTTGGCAAAAAGCCTCATCAGTCATGCATTCAGTTCTTTCTGTGTACCCACCTCTTATAAGGGACTGTTCTAGGTGCCCTGGGAACACCCTCTCCACTCTCAAGAAGCTGCATGTGAAGCTGAGCTCAGATGGGGCTCACATTCCTTCTGAAGATCACCTGCTTACCCTCCAGTCATTGATCACAGAAGTCTGATCTTCCTGTAGTGTACATTTTCAGTTTATCTAACAACCCTGCTGTCTATCTGACTCATCATGTTAGATGTACTAAGATGGCATAAGAGAGTTTGACAGAACAGACATTTGTAAGTTACAGATAAAATAAAAACAAGGCTGAAATGAGTATCTATTGCCTGGGAAAAGGTGAACTGTAACTCATACTTTATACCAAAATATACTCTAGACATTCATGGAAGAAAAAACTGGAAACAAACAAAAATGCAAAAAAATTCTGGAAGCAACAACGGGCGAATCAAAAAATCAAAACCAAAACACAACAATCTCAGAGTAGGGAAGACCTTTCTGAACTATGATACATCCCAGAAAGCATGAAGGAAAAAAAACTGGTCAATCTGCACAACAAAGAGTCAGTAAAGAAAAAATGATAAACTTAGTCCTTACATCAAGGCAAAGAGTTAACTTCCCTAATACACAAAGCACTCTGTCCAAAATCAATTAAGAGAAAGAACAACAAATGGACAAAGAAAAACAAGTAGAAAAATGGGCAAAGGATATGAAGAGGCAGTTCAGAGTGAGAAATCCAGAGGCTCTCAGGCAAGTGAAAAGGTGTTCAGTCTTACTCATGGTTAAGAGGTGGACCAAGTGAAACAACACTGAAAGACCATTCTTTATGAACGTATGGACAAAGGTAAAATTGAATGACTGAGCTGGAGAGGATATGAAGAAAAACATAAACAGGCAGTCTCTCATATTACCAATAGTAGTATAAATTGAAACTGCTTTAATGTAGGGCAGTTTGGCAACATATTGATTTAGGATGACAGATAATTTTTTTAGGAGGCAGCTTGGCATAGGGGAAAGATCATGGGAAAAGATCACCATAAAGCTCTTATGTCTTCTGGGTTGACTGTTTAAACCTGAAAATGAATACTCAGTGTTCTCTTTTCTGTTTTCAGGGATGACTCTGTCCCAGAAGACAACATCTGGAGGGGTATCCTTTCTGTTGTTTTCTTCTTTCTCATCATCAGTGTGTTAGCTTTTCCCAATGGTAAGTGATGTCTTTCTCCTGTGCTGCATGGTGTCCTTTTGGTGTTTTTGAGATGCATGCCACCTAGAAGATAAAACCAGAACGTGGAGTAAAAAATTAACCTGCAGTGGTTAGGTCACAGGCCCTAGAGGCAGACTGTCCCTTCTGCCACTTGCTGGCTCTATAGTCCTGGGGAAGGCCCCTAGCATTTTCATGAGTGCTTGAGTTTCTCTTTTGTACAATGGTAATAACAGGTAGGTACTGTTGAAAGGGTTAATTAAATTAAAGCGTGTTATATTCTCTGAATAGTGACTGACAGATTGTTAGCTCTCAAAAAGTGTCTGCTCTTGTTTTTGTTGCTATTTTTGATATATCGGCTGAGTCATAAAATATGCAATTATTATTTAGTCCTATTTGCTAAGGACATGGTCGGTGCTGTGATGAGTGTTACTTAAATAATGTGTTGTCCCAAGTGATCTTTTATCACAGTAAACTTTGCTGATCATGCATTTGGGATATGAATTTTCAGCATCAGCTTTAAAAAAGTCCATTATTACTGTGAATTTTATCTCCCATCATGATTATAGAGTGAGACGAAGTCTTTATTTAAAAAAAATATCTGACATACTTAAGATGCATCCCTTTCCTCTGAATTGTCCCTTGCTTTATTTTTTCTTATTTCTCTTCAGTACCTTCTCCCTGGAATATGCTTACTCATTTTCTGTAACCATTTCTAAATGCTTCCTTTTTATATCCCATTTCTTTTACACTTTAGATATTTTGAAATTATTCAGCCTTACCTATGAATTATGTCCCATGGGCCATATTCAAACGTCATACTTTAGGGAATGTTTCTTCTCTATCTTCCTGTCTCTTCAGTAGAATGCAATGTATAATATAAGAAACTCATTGTGAATGCTACTCATTTTTGCTTGGAAATGTACCATGGTAATAAGGTCCTAATGTCAATTCCACTATATGTGTGTTGGGGGATAGCAGCAGGCCTGGGGGGAAGGGTGTTCCCCCATCAGTAAGCCTTTTCGGACACCAGCTGGCAGCCCTACAGTTCAACTCAGTTCAGACACTGTCTACCCAGAGTTAGCATCAGATCCCACAGGTTAAGGGCTCAGTCTCACAAGACTGCCCCCACTTCAGATGCCAATTGCAAGTCTAGATTGTCACCGGTGGTTCTGACCAAATGGTTACAAATCAAAAGTCCCCATGACCCCTCCTTATGTTCAGTTAATTTGCTAGAGCGGCTCACAGGATTCAAGAAATAAGCTTACTCACTAGATTACAGTACCAGTTTATTACAAAGGATACTTATCAACAGCCAGATCATTGGAGAAGACTTGTGGGAATGGGCGAGGAGCGTCCATGCCCTTTCTAGGTGTGCCACTCTTCTGGCATTAGAAAAGTGTTCGCCAACCCAGAAGCTCCCCAGATCCCATCCTTTTGGGTTTTTATGGAGGCCTAATTTACATAGGCATGTTGATTGAATCATTGGCCATTGCGAATTGAACTCAATCTCTAGCCTCTCACCCTTCCCTGGAGGTCTGGGGGTGGGACTGAAAGTTCCAACCCTCTAATCCCATGGCTGGCTCCACTGGCAGCCAGCCTTATCTTTAGGTTAAGTTCTCATTAACGCAGCAAGAAACATTCATCACTCTCATCACTTAGAAGATTCCAAGGGTTTTAGGAGCCCTGTGCCAGATAAGGGCAAAAGACCAAATATATATTTCTTATTATAATCCACACTATCACACATGGCAAAGCCAAAGTCTTTCCAAGATGGTGGCAATGGGATTTTGTTCTGTATGTTTGCTTAATCTTACGTAACACTGTGATTTTTGCTGATAACATAATAATCCAACCAGTAAAGCCATGACTGAATCCTTCAGAGAATGAATTGTTTTTGATAACTAAGTTATTTGACAGCTGAGTTTAACTCTCCAACCACTCGAGCTTCTAGATTAAATTTTATTTTTAGTGGAAACCTTTCACGATATGGAAACCTGCTGTCTCAGTCAGTGCAGGCTGCTGTAACAGAATGCTCTAGACCGGATGGCTTGAACAGCATAAGATTCATCTTGTGGCAGAATTCCCCTCCAGCTGTAAACCTGTGAAACCAAGCACATGCTTACAAAATACAGCAGAGGGACAGGCACAGGGTAGACACCCATTCCAAAAGGGAGAAATAGGAAGGAAGTAAGGGTGACAAGTTCCAAGCAAGTTCAAAGTCAGGAAGGCAAACTCTGTGAGATTTTAAAGCTCAAGAATCATCAGTCCTGGGATCACCTGGCTGGTTCAGGTTGGTAGAGCATGTGACTCTTGTTCTCTGTGTTGTGAGTTCTAGCCCCATTTTGGGAATAGAGTTTATTTTAAAAAAGAAGAAGAATCAATCCTCTTTGGATCAAGGCTCTGCCTTCCAGACCTACTGGGGTAATAACAGTTTCTTCCATACCTCTGCCCAGCAGGGGTCTAGCCTGCCCCCATGGGTCTGCTGGGTGTTGGTCTTTAGAAACCAAGGTGGAGATATTTTCCCCACCTCCCAGTGGCCCATGCACTCTGAGGCCTGTGGTGGAAGTGACAGCCGATAATCTCCCAGTTACCTTTGAGGTCCTTCTTCCTGTGTCTTAAAAAATAACGAATGTTCACAGCCAAGTCGGCTATGCTCTGGTCCTATAGGATCCAGGAGTCCAACAGAAATCTTCACTTTAGGGGTTCAGATTAAAACATAATGAATTTTGGCAAGAGTCTGGGGAGTCTGTAACTACCTATATACCCTATGCAGATATGACAAAGTTTGGCCTTTCCATGACGATTGAGAGTTCTGGTAATGCACAATTTTTGGAGTATGACAATAAGATGTCCATGATATTGGCTGGGCCATGGAATGAAGGGGTATTAACCTTACTATAGAATTGTCTAGGAAGAGTCCCCGATATCAAACAGCTTTTTGGCTACTTGCCAGCTTTCTTTTCTGTCCCTCTTCAAACACCCGAAACCTCAGAATTTTTGGTTTAGAGGAGAACTTGGACATCATGCAGCCTATCCCTTCTTTCAAGGTCCTGTGTTGTAGGGTAGCTAAGTGATCACTTGCAGCATAACGTGTTTTACATACATGAACCACCGAGGTCTGTGGATGGTCTCCCTGAGCTCTGGAACCCCGCCTTTTCATACATAGGTGGCATGAGAACACAGTCCAAAGCAAGGAGATGGTGAGCCCCAAAGGAGGGTGTGTAGGTGACAGTTCAGGTAAGAGTGACTGCCTCTCCTCCCCTTAGCCATTCTACCTCTCCTATCCTGTAAGGGCCCGCTGCTTGCTTCTACATCATTAGTCAGTGTCATGACCAGTTTTGTTCTGTACCCTTTATTCTTATTTCTTTCTTATCTACTCTTTCCCTGTCCTGCTACTTTTTTAATACCAGTCAAGGCATGATAGGTGCTCAGGGAACTGACAGTCCCAAGGTGTCAGGTCTGTTCTTCAAGTCTTCAGCTTTTCTTAGCTGTGTGTTCATAGTTACTTAGTTCTCAGCTGTAACTTCTTCATAGCTTTGAAGGTTTCTTTTCTGCCTTTGTTGTTTTTTTTTTCTTTTAAACTTACTTTTTCTGAATCCAGTACCGTTTTGGAAGTCTGAGGATTCTCAAAGATTAGTCTCTTGATAACCAGGACTTTATAAATATTCCTTCAACGAGGCTTCAGCAAGAACTGAATTTGGGGCTTCATTAGCAGGTGGTTTTTGTCAGGCACCAAAGGCCCTGAAGATTGGGAGATTAAGTCTATTGCGTGTAACATTTTATATGATTTCTGCCATTTTTTTTCTGTTCCCTAATGAAGTCTTCTCATCTCCAAAGCCCATTTCGTTTACTCAGTCTCTCACTGTGGGACCGTGCTATTGTTCTCCCTCTGGGAAGATAAAAGTGAAGTTTGTTTTGTGCTTTTCTTCTCCCGGCTTGTGGGCTTCGTGATACACACAAAGTGGGGAGGACCATGAGGCTCAACTTGTCCAGTCTACCCAGTTCACAGCTGTGAAAGCTGAAACGCATTCATCCACGAAAGGTCACCCAGCCACTTGATGTCAGCCCACTAGTAGGGCCTCAGCTCCTGTGTTTTTCTTTAGTGTCTGTTGTTCTGGTCATTTCTCCCTGTTAGGTCCACTGGGATGTGTTTTTATCTCTCTCTTCCTATGTGGCTTTGTCTCCTTTTACTTCTGTTCCTCTCTTTTAGTGTCTGGCTTTACTTTTTCCTGGGAAGAAGAGCCTTAGGGTCTTAGTTGGTCTTCACCTAGTGGCTTTGGATCCTGTGGAGTTGGTTGGTGGTGGTGTCCATGTTCCTGTGTTGCCCAGAGGTCATGTGACCAGAGGGTGTTGGCAGATCAATTGGAACCTTCCTGCTTTTTCTTTTTCCTCATCTCTCCCTGCCTTATTGATAACTTCCCCTGCCGCTCCTGTGTGTGCCTACAGAACATATAGGCAGATCATACCGTAAAAGAAGGTTTTAGATGCATATAGAAAGAGGCAATGGCAGTTTAATAATCTATGTAAGAAGGATTAGGAGCTAGGGTAGCATGTTTTTAGAGGGCTTCTCTTGAAGCCTGTGTACAAAGCAAACATGTTTTGTGTCTGACTTGTGTTCTAAAGATTCACTTATCCACACTTTCTAAAAGATTAGTGAAACTGTAAGTTTTCTACCTTAAAGAATGTTATTGTTGAATATTTTTAAATGAGGGCTGGCTTTAGGGGGTGCTGGTGTTGATGATGAGGGAACTACAGGGCCACTGGGAAAGGATGGTCCCAGGCCATGTGGCCACTCAGACCTCAGGCCTTCCTAGGAGCCACGATGCCGGGTGGCCACTTCCTGAGGGGAGTTCACACACACTCCTCTTGTTCTCCAGACCAGTCACCTTATTTTCCATTCTCCTCCCCCTTGGCATGAATTGTCAGATTAAGTAATGAAAATGAATGGGAGAAACCGAGCCCAACGTTAGCCTTCTCCTTGAAAGGCAGTTTTGGGGCAG